AAGGTAATGGAAGCCAACCACCACCTCCACCCTACAACTCAAGCCGCCAACATCGCAAATAAGGTCATGGAAGATGCTGAAATGGTATAAACTACCGTGATGCACTCACCACCATCTTCACCGTCTACAAAGAACTGAAAGCTTTACGAGCCAAGAATCGGTGAATGAGGAAATCACAAAAACAGAAACAAGCTCCATGACCTTCTTCTCAATGTTGGGTGCTTGAGTTATAGGGTGTAGTTGGTGGTTGTGTGTTGGGTTTGGAGTTGATGGCCTGATGGGGGTGGTGGTGATTGTTAGTTGTCGAAACCACACTTCCATGACCTTCTATTAATTTTGGAGACGAAGTAAACCCTAATTATTTGACAGAAATTTAACTGGGCTTAACGGATATGATGTTTTAATAGGTTGGGTACTTGTTAGAAATATTTAAAAAAATTGAGACCAATTTAAAATGACGTAAAAAATTAAGAGATTTTAGGTACTTATTAAACAATAACGGATACGGTTAGGCAAAAAATAAACAATAACAGAGCCAAATAACTAGGTACGATGTTGTGAGCCAAAGTAAGGTATGTTTACAACTTTTTTACTCAGTAAATTGCAGGAAATAGGAATAGAAGAAAGCTCAACCCTTTTCTTATTCCCATTAATTTGATCCTGCTTTTTCTTTCTAATCTTTATTGCGTCGTAAGTGAGAGGCCTACCACGCACACAGAAAGAAGATTTGTCCTTGATGTGTGTCTTCTTGCTAAATGCTAGTGCTAAATATGATTAATAAATTAATCAACTTTCTGTCGATCGCCACATACAAACGTGGTGCTGGCCTAAGTACACATATATTCCTCACTTTAATTACTTTTAAAATGCTACAACAACTCCTCGACAAGAATGTCATTGACGTTTGCCTTATCATTTCTTTTTATTTTTTTACCAATTATTTTTAGGGACACTTTAGATGCGGTCCTTAGCTATCAATATTCTTTGATTGAAACCTTGTTAGTTTTTAGTTTTTGATTGAGGTCCCTGACATTAATGTAATAATGTAAGTTACTATATTTTTTTAATTAAAAATAAAAAATTGAAAATTGTAATTGTTTATATTAATGAGATTTTAAATAAAACCCATAATTTATGGGATTAAAAATAATAAAATATAAATTATACTCTCTATTATATTGTGTGTGTGTGTGTATACATATATGTATGGGTACATTAACCAAAATTAACAAAAAAAGTTATTGTACCAAAACATGGATACATTCTCAAATCAACGAAAACAATGTACCCATATAAGTTTAAACATGGATTAAAAAATTTGAATGGATTTTATATTAAAAAAAGGGTACATTTTACATATAAAAAATTGATATATTTGAGAATGGGTACATTTAAGATTAAAAAAATTGAAAAATTATATGAATGGGTACATTTAAGATTAAAAAATTGAGAATCTTTTTATATATAAAAAAAAACTAATAGGTACAAACTTAATTTAATTTAATTTTTTATTATTTTGGAAATGTTTGAATTGAAAATTAATTAGAAGTTTAATAGAGGTGTCAGTATTAAACCCTAAATTAATTACTAATTTTTATATTAAAAAATTATATAATAAACAAGTAAATTCATTATCACATTAATGCTAGGGACTTGAATCAAAATTTGAGAACTAATAAGGTCTTAGTTAATGAACAGTAAAAACTAAGGACCGGATACTAATTTTTCCTTATTTTTATGCTTCAGAACGTATCAGTGTCTCATTCCAAATGTATTTCTAATACTTCGATCTACAGGTATTTATAGACAAAATGATTCAAATTTATTGAGCACCATATTATTATAAAAGGTGAACATTTATCGAATATACAGCTAGCTCATAATTAACTTAATGTCACATGCAGAAAGGGACGTACCTAAGAAATGGTCCAGGGCTGTGGCACGTCGGGGACTACAACTTCCGCCACCTCTTTGACGGCTATGCCATGCTCGTCAAACTTCACTTCCACGACGGTCGCCTCACTGCTGGCCACCGCCAGATCGAATCCGAGGCCTACAAAGCCGCCATGAAGAACAACAAATTATGTTTCCGTGAATTCTCTGAGGTCCCTAAGCCTAACAATTTCCTATCTTATATTGGTGAGCTAGCCAACCTATTCTCCGGTGCATCACTGACTGACAACGCCAACACCGGAGTGGTTAAGCTCGCCGATGGTCGGGTTGTGTGCCTCACAGAGACCCAGAAAGGGTCAATAGTGATTGATCCGGCTACCTTGGAAACTGTAGGGAAATTTGAGTACAGTGACACATTGGGTGGCTTGATACACTCGGCACATCCTATCGTGACCGATACCGAGTTTTTGACTTTGTTGCCGGATTTAATCAACCCAGGATATTTGGCAGTCAGGATGGAGCCGGGTACTAATGAGAGGAAGGTGATCGGGCGGGTTGATTGTAGCCGTGGACCGGCTCCGGGTTGGGTGCACTCTTTCCCTGTGACCGAGCACTACATCATTGTGCCCGAGATGCCACTGAGGTATTGTGCTGGGAATTTGCTCAAGGCCGAACCCACTCCCTTGTACAAGTTTGAGTGGCACCCTGACTCCAAGGCGTTTATGCATGTTATGTGTAAAGCTAGTGGCAACATTGTAAGTTCCTACCAATCTGATGTTTTGGGTACTAACTATTTTGCTTTTGTTCTTCTTTTGATTTATTAATTGTATACAATTTCTTTGTTTTGAAGGTGGCGAGTGTGGAAGTTCCATTATACATTACGTTCCATTTCATTAATGCTTATGAGGAGACAGATGAGGATGGTAGGGTGACTGCAGTCATTGCAGATTGTTGCGAACACAACGCTGACACAACGATTCTGGACAAGCTTAAGATACAAAATCTTCGGTCGTATACTGGCAAAGATGTACTACCAGATGCTAAGTACGTACATGACATGAATATCTATCTACTATGAAAGCAACAAAAAAGTTATCTTGCTGAATTTTTACCATGTTTATTATTTTGAAATTATTATTGGCAATCGAAAAATGTAGTTGTGCACTTCAAACTCTCTATATTTAGAAAGAAAAATACTATTTATGAGAAGTGGACAACTAGATTTTTGGAGTGCCAATAATAATTCTCTATCATTTTCTAAAATAAAAAGCACAAAATTAACTCAATATGTGACCTAAATTCACCGACAAAAAAATATTGTGTATTCAATTTAACGTGGAGCTAGCGATTAATTTGTTGGGTAATGCTAAGGAGACTAAATGTGTAAATTATATAAATTTTATAAAATAAATAACATAGAAATTGATGATTAGATTATTACTTAAGTTTTGTAAACTAATTTGTTGTTGTTCTTTTGATGGAAAACACAGGGTTGGTAGATTCAGAATACCACTGGATGGGAGTCCATATGGAAATTTGGAGGCAGCACTAGACCCAAATGAGCATGGAAGAGGGATGGACATGTGCAGCATAAACCCCGCTTTTCTGGGCCAAAAATACAGATACGCTTATGCTTGCGGAGCTCAGCGCCCATGCAACTTTCCTAACACCCTCACCAAGGTATAGTTAATTATTAAAGTTACAAAATTACATGCCCTACTTCCATTTTCCACTTTGTATTATATCATACCGATTTCGAGCTAATTTCTTATTCAAATTCTTTGAATATATGTTTGCAGATTGATTTGGTAGAGAAGAAAGCTAAGAATTGGTACGATGAAGGGGCAGTGCCATCCGAACCGTTCTTTGTGGCCCGTCCTGGGGCGACCGAAGAAGATGATGGTGAGATTACTTTACTGAAAACTAAAAATTAAACTAATTAAAATTTTGAAAATTCACAAAAGTATTTTTTTTTTAGTTTCATTTTTGTCAAAAGTAAAAAACAATATGATTATTAAACGACTCATTAATGTTATAAAATTACCTTCAATTAGAAAAACAAAAAAGAGTTCGTTTGGAACAATTTTTATGACATTTATATGTACATGATGTAGGTGTTGTAATATCGATGATTAGTGCGAAAAATGGAGATGGATATGCGTTGTTATTAGATGGATCAACGTTCGAAGAGATTGCTAGGGCAAAGTTCCCCTATGGTCTTCCATATGGACTGCATGGATGCTGGGTTCCCTTCAAATAATCAAAGAAATTATGAACTAGCCAGTGGTAGTTCCAGTTTCGTTATTTACAGCTAGCCAAAAAATGTACCCACTTCAAATGCGTTGATGTGTTGGTCATGGTTAGCTAGGAACACAAAAATATGCTATTCATTAAGTTATATGATATGAATAACATATAAGCAGATAGATATAGGCTAAAGCTACGTATAGCAGTGTGACATATCTTTGTTCATATTTCTTAAGCTTTTAAGTGAGCGTTGCGTATAATGTACTATATTTGTAGGGTTGTCGAAAAATAGTTCACCATCTTATGGGCCGTTTGATATTCATTTTATTTTCAGTTTTTGTTTAAATTTTTTTAAAAATTGAAACTTATTTGATAATTACATTCAGTCTTTAAAAAGAATATGATAATTAAAACTCAATCAAAAGTTAACCAAACAATTTCGGCATACAGATAAGAATATGGGTAACTAATTACATGCAGAGAGTACGTCCGTAAGAAATGGTCAGAATTTTCAATCTGTTGATCTGGTTTTATTCATTTTTACAGAGTTGAGGTTTCGAATTTTTTGACACCTTTTAACATTAATTTCATTTGTCGTGTATGAAACTCTATAGTTCATGACAATTTGCATTGTGCTTATGTAATTAAAGTATAAACTATCCGATCATCCTTTACTTTTCTTCCAAACAAAATGAGCACAAACTTTTGGCATGTTTACTAATCTGGATCGAGAATTGGAACTATTTTGATTGCTGATTTTCCCGCCGTCTACTAACCCATGACTATTGCAATTTATCCAATCTACGACTTTTAACACATGTAATCCATCCAATACCTAGAAAACAAGAAATAGATTGATCCTATACAGAATCCTTCTCATAATCCAAGTAAACATGTAATTTCAGCGAAACATGACATGCAAGAATAAGTCTGCAAAACAAAGATTTCATATTTATGAATACGTATTGTACATAAACAAGCAGAGCCCATCTCCTAGTTAATGTGGAACTAAATGAAGGTCCCAGAAACCTTGAAATTTAACATTGGTAACTTGGTAGAAATTGGAATCCAATCATCTGCTGAAAAACTGAAATTCTATTGACCAAATTATAGACAAATTGAACTGTTAAGGGCTAATAAACTCTAGAGAGACTAAACTATGAACAAGTTTCTGAAACCATGAAGCAGCAGAGCACAATAGTTGTTATCTGCATCCATTTTTCAACGCCAAAGTGATTCTGCTAGAAGTGCTTCCATTAGAAATATGTTGTCATTTTCATAAAAAATAAGTGTACCTGACAGGTGCTTCTCCCAAAAAAACACTTCTACTATGACGAAGAAGCTCTCTTAACCTTTTACACCAAACAGTCAATAAGCAAGGTTTCCAAACACATGGAGCACAGGAGCAGAAGAGATGTAAGCTGCATCCATTTCTCAACGCCAAACTAAAGCCAATCCTTTCTTGCATCCACGTTCTCAGTCCTTTATCCAGCACAATGCACTTCAATGACGAGCATCGAAGAACTAAGTTTTCAATGTCACACACACTGACATTGAAGCAAGAACAGAAAACAATTGTCTCTAAGCACACATGACTCGAAAATGCAAGAATGCCCTCACCGCTTACCAATTCACAACCGGTTAAATCCAGCATCTCCAACTTCCGGCAATTCTCAGCAAGAGCAACAACTGTCTGATTTGTCACATTGATCAACCAAGACAGGTTCAATCTTTTAAGAGATCGAATTGCAGCAATTGAAACAACTCCGGAGTCAGTGATTTTCGGACCACATTCCGCCAAATTCAGCTCCACCAAGCCACACATATTCTGCAAATTGGAGACCCCAAAATCAGTGATTCTATCACACCCTGCAAGATTCAACCTTTTCATGGTTTTTGAGCAAGACCCATTTGCCAAAAACTTTAACCCGCGATCCGTAATCAACGAACATCCTTGCAAACCCAAAACCATAATCGAATTTGAAGACCCAATTGCATCTAGGGTTGGGTCCGAAACCAAGCTGCAAAACCCTAAATCCAAATACGTCAAATTATGCGATAAATCCACAAGCGAAACGATCCCAAAATTCCCAACATTCTTCCTCCTTCTGATCGAAACCTTACGCAATTTCGGACACCCTTGTGCCAGAGCGCACAGACCGTCGTTCCCAAAATCATCAAACAACAATGCTTCGTCAAATTTGTCAGAAATCTTACGTGGGGTTTTCGAATTGAGGTCGATGACTTCGATTTTGGGACAGAATCGAGCTATGAGTTCGAGGTCGGAGTCGGCGATGGACTTTGATGCTTCGAATTGGAGTAAATTTGGGAATCTGGGTAGGACTCGGAGGAGATGTTCGGGTTCGAGAAGACGAATTGAGGATCGGTTCAGGCCCTCCACTCTCAGCCATTGCTTGCAGACCTCGGAGAACGATTGTCTGTCTTTTGGGTCGGTGACCCAATTGAGGATTAGGGTTAGTTCGTCATCGCCTAGCTGAGACATGTCTCTGTTAAGCCTACGTGCGCGGGAGTGCCTATGTGTTTTTACGTAAGTAAGTAGTGAAAATTTTAATTTTTAAGTTATTAACCTTTTAACACACATAACTCATCATTTATATAGAAACACATAATTTATCATATCGTGTGACGATCATACTGAAAAATCTGTCCACGGTCAGGTGATAAAATCATAAAAGCAAGTTGCATCCGTTTTACAACGATGACAGGGACACGTAGGAGAGATTTTTGAGCATGTCTGAAACAGATGATGTATATCACGTATCATTATACAAGTAATATATTATAAATAAAACTTTTCGCCATTTATATAATAACACATAGTGTACCTCATGAGTTACAGACTTGATGAAAATTTTCTCGACATGCAGAGGGTGTATTTTAATGAGAATTTTAATTCTTTTAATAAATTTAGAGGTACTCTATTAAGATTTAAAATGATTATTTGAAATTCGGGGTGTCTTTAATCAGGATTTTAAGAACATCTTCAATGGAGATGTCAAAAGATAAATGTCAAATGTTAATTTGATGGCTGATGTAGGTAATGTCAAATTTTTTATTTTTTCAACCGATATGTTTTTTTGTTATAAATTATATTTATATGACTCATTTTAAAAAGAAATCAATTAAAAATATTTTCAAAATCAATAATTTATATATTAATGGGACCCACATAATAAAATCATTTAACATCATATTGATTACATGACATTTCACTTAAGATTTGACATCTCCTTTAAAGATAATCTAAGATAATTTATTAAAATTCTTAGAAATTCGATTGTATTTAATGAGAACATTAAAGAAGTTTATAACAGGAATTCGAGAGAATTTAAGAAATTTCGTAAACAATGACATGCCATTCTCTCCACAGCCATGCATATCAAAGCGTAAACTTACAAAACTCAAACATGACCCGACGATCACATGCTACGAACATGCACACAAAAACATCAATAATTGAGTCGGATAATAACATGGTGGACTCGTTCCTAAAAATAAATAAATTAGCAAGTCCATAATTTAGTTTAATTTGTTGTGGAGTCATTTTCTCAATCAGTAGTATTCTTTTATTTTTTAAGTAATAGATGAAATAAAAATTCAAATTTGCAATCCAATTTTCTTGTTTCTCTTTCGCTTGTGTAAACACAATTTCTTAGAAATTATTTCAAAAGCGGTTGGACTCATTAGCCAATAAAATTAAGTATTTGTAATCCGTTAACTAAATCTATTTAGACGGGGGAGTCTTAAGACGACGGTTTTCGAACTTGAAACTGGAACTGTTCACGTAAGAAGGAATCAAACATCAGAAGCTTCAGGTGATCATGACTAATTAAGACAATAATTTTTTAATTAATTATTTGTAATCACTGATTAAATAGTATGTAAGCATTCTCAAAACCATGCTGTTGTGTACTAATCTTGTTCTATAAAATTATATTATATTATATAAATTATTCGACCAACTGTCATTGTAAATCTTTTCTTTGACTCTACAAATAATAATTTATTAAATACTAGCCGAGGTTAATAAATAATAATTTGCGAAAAATGAGTGATTGAAATAGTTAAATATATTGAAAAATCAGCTGCTGACATCGGTATGTATTTAATATTTGTCTAGTTTCTGTATTACGCTCTTAAACCTTTTGAAACCTCACCCTCTCACCCTTAATCGATCCAACTTTTTTAATATTTACGATAAATGATATGATTCTTGTCTTTGTAGTTCAGACGAAGTTTTGGTACACGTAGCGTAAATTGTCGCAATTTAACTTCTGAAGTTTATTTACTGTTGCAATTCAAAGCTAAACGCATCACTTTTTTTAATGAAATTAACAGGTGAGAAGTTTTTGTCACTTCCAAGATGCTAATTTTGTTTCATAAAATAATATAATTAAGTTTATTATTCTTGAATTTGTAACAACTTATAAATTGCATTGTAGAGACCACACTATAGTATAGTGCGACTTGATATTTGTATTAGTGCAGTATTTCGGTCAATTGTATAGCAGTACATGATCATTAAAGGCTTATTTGAAAGTAATTTTTGAATGATTGACTGAAGTTTTGGTAAAAACGTTTATGATTAAAGACTTGCACCAAACATGTGCTTCTTAATTCAAGTAATTTCTTAAGATTCATTTACATTTTATTTTCAAGAATACTTTCATAAAAACGATTTAAATCATTCTAATAACAATTTCAAACACACATTAATTTTAGCCGACGAGCGTGGTAGAACGACGGAACCTAGCAAAATCCTTGTATAATAATAAAATATATATACAAGTGAAAAAACAGAAGGGAAGTTGTGGACCCGGTGACCACCGATCTTTTGCCTGCGTGTTCCAGCTTTCATTTGGACCTTTTTCCAGTTCCAGAAGCATGAGGGATTGTTGCTTTCCCATGCTCCTTCTTCCTCTCTCATCTTTTGTGAATTATATATTAATTATTTAATTAATCACAATTCTAAATTGTGAATGTTTTTAGTTTTCGATGAAAAATAATAATAATAATTAAGGGAACAAAAACATGAGAAAACATCCCATGAACTTTTCTTTTGGGCCAACGCCTCCTTCTCTTTTTGTCTGTATTTCACTCGTTTCACAAGCAGCATTGCCGCAGTGAAATAGTAAAAGGAGAAGAAGATAGAATTTATATAGTGCTCTGTTTTACAATCTTTTTGTTTAGCACCGTTTAAGTCTCGAGTCTCAGGGTGATAGATTTACCATGAATTTGAGAAATAAAGTTTCAATCAAACAACAATATAGGTAATTTTCATATGTAGCCATTTCTTTCCTCATATTTTGAGAATTTGTTGAGACATCAATTCAATACATGACTTTTTACCACAATAGCAACCGTTGACAAATATTTCATAAAAATAAACACAATATATATATATATATATATTTATTTTTTATTTTTTTGATCAAAAAACTTATTTTTGAATCACCCAAAAAGTCACACAAAAAAATTTTTAATAAATAAACTGTCTGTTCGGGGACGTGTGTGAGAAAGAGAGAGGAGAGAGAGAGAGAGAGTAAAATGTACAAGTAAAAAGTCCAAAACTTTGGACTCTATCTCTTCTCTTCCCCTGTATCTTCCTCAATGGCTCACCTCTTCAGAGACCTCTCTTCGCTTGGCCAATCCAAGAGAGGCATCACCGCCCCCACAACCACCAGAGCCACCGCCTCACCCGCCAAACCACTCAGCATACCCACCAGATCCATTTCCGCAATGGGCACCGATCTCCCATCCCCGCTCGGCCAGCTCTCGACCCAACTCAGCGACTCGGACCTCCGACTCACCGCCTACGAGATCTTCGTCGCCGCCTGCCGCACATCCACCGGAAAGGCCTTGACTTTCACACCCTCCTCCGCTGACTCGCCGACCCAACACGCCAACTCCCCCAACGACTCCCCCGCGCTGCAGAGATCGCTCACTTCCACAGCTGCCAGCAAGATGAAGAAAGCATTGGGTCTCAAATCGCCGGGCTCCGGCTCCAAGAGAGTCCTGGGTCGGCCGGGTCCGGGGCCGGGTCGGGTCCCGGAAAGCCTAGGCGGGCAATGACGGTGGGTGAGCTGATGAGGATCCAAATGGGGATTTCTGAGGCCACTGACTCCAGAGTCCGGAGAGCTCTGCTCAGGATTTCTGCTTCTCAGGTCAGCTCAATTTCTTCCCCTTTTTTTTTCTTTTCTCATTTGTGATTTTTGTTGATCTGACTTTGAAAGGGTTAATTTTGCTTTGAATTATTTTTAGTGGGTAATGTTTGGTTTTTGATAATTCTGATGATGTGATGAGATTGTTTAGCTCAAATTTGAGAGTGGTTTGGTCAATTTGGATTGCAAAAATTGTTTCTTTACTAAATGTAGTTTGATCTGATGAAACTGACAGTGTTAAATGAACCAAAATCTCATTTCGAGCTCGGTATGCGACACCGAATGTTTAGTTTTATAGCAGTATTTTCGAGCTTTTGTTTAAGGGTCGTTTGTATTGGAGTTGTAAGTGATCGAGTGTTCTGTTTGTTGTACTCATTGCAGGTCGGAAGGCGAATTGAGTCGGTGGTAGTGCCACTGGAGCTGTTACAGCAGCTCAAGTCCTCTGATTTCACTGACCAGCAAGAATACGATGCATGGCAGAAAAGAACCCTCAAAATTCTTGAGGCCGGTCTCCTCTTGCATCCCCACGTGCCACTAGACAAGTCGAATAATGCTGCACAGAGATTGCGTCAAATTATTAATGGGGCATTGGACAGGCCCTTTGAAACTGGCAGAAATAACGAGACTCTGCAGGTTCTTCGTAATGCTGTTACGGCTCTTGCTTCTAGGTCATCTGATGGTCTCTATGATACATCACATTGGGCAGATGGGTTACCATTGAATCTCCGGCTTTATGAGAGGCTTCTAGAAGCCTGCTTTGATCTTCACGACGAAACATCTATAATAGAGGAAGTTGACGAGCTAATGGAGCATATTAAGAAGACCTGGTCAATCCTTGGAATGAACCAGATGCTCCATAACCTTTGCTTTACTTGGGTTTTATTTCATCGTTTTGTTGCAACTGGTCAAGTAGAACTGGACCTCTTGTATGCTGCTGATAGTCAGCTAGCTGAGGTTGCTAAAGATGCAAAGGCAACAAAGGATTCCGAGTACTGCAAGATCTTGAGTTCAACATTGACTTCAATATTGGGATGGGCAGAGAAGAGACTCCTTGCATATCATGACACTTTTGATAGCAGTAACATTGACACTATGCAGGCCATTGTTTCTCTGGGGGTAGTAGCAGCTAAGATTTTAGTTGAAGATATATCAAATGAGTACCGCAGGAGGAGGAAAAATGAAGTTGATGTTGCCCGTAGCAGGATTGACACCTACATCAGATCATCCTTGCGCACTGCTTTTGCTCAGGCAAGTCCTCAGTATCTGCCACTGATTCCCCCCTTTCCTTCCTTCAATAAGAGGGAAAATGCAACGAATATCA